CTACCTGAAAAGCCCCTGAACAGAGACTAGTTTGAGGCAGATACTTACATGATTTTAATTGTAGAAAGTTGTAATAAACTCTAGAAAGTTCTTAGGAAGTAAGAGTCAAATTCTGTTTTTAACAAACTTGTGCCCATGGTCCTACTTCTGCCTTATGTAATTTCCCAAAATAAAGTTAAACTTCTCCTTAGGTTATTTTATATTACAACAGTTTAACACCTGTTCTGTCCTTGTTTTTGTTTCTTTGCCTGAAACTTCAGTTGTAAAACTATTCCTTGTATTGTATCCCTGTCGACATTAAGATATGTCATGTAATCATGTATCATCTGCAGTGGTATTCAGAACTGAATTCATTCTTCTTATGTGACCTGTATTGATAGTGGAACATCCTTGATTTGGAAACGTACCTGATCTCATTGTCTCTCCTAAGATTGTCTTCACTTATTATCTCTCATTAATTTAGAATTTAAACATCTTAGCCTTTTTTTTAAGAAAACTTTTAAAACTTATTTTCATTGTTTTATAGGTATGCAATTTATTTTATATCAAATGCAGTTTTTTAAAATTTTTGAAATTCAGCATACTGACATACCTTTAATTTTTTTTTAATTTTGTAATTCAGCATGCTGATATACCTTTTGTTTTATATGCAAATTTGCTGTGTGTTTTTCTGATCTACACACCAGTAAACTATGGAACAAGACAAGATCCAATGAAGAGTCCTGTTGGTTACTTCTAGAATTCTTCCACTAGTTTGAAGAATTGGGTGGGAAAGTATTTCCGCCCAAATACTTTATCTCTGGGTGTGTTTGTTCAGCTAGGAGTGTGCCTAATTGTAGCGTGGGGCTCTGTTTGTCTGTTTGGTTCTTAAGAATGTCACCAGAGACTTTTTAAGTGCTTTTAGTATCATAAGATGATGTTTTCTGGGACCTGAAGCCTTGAATTATTGGTAAAGTGTCAAGGTTTTTGTTTTTTTTTTACTTCTTTATACTAGGAGGAATCACATGCCATTTTCATCAAATATTCAAATACTACATGACAAAAAGTTCAGAGCTCTAAGTCAGTATTACAGAAAGGTCTTAATTGAATGGCAAAACTCCCATAGTACCATAGCTTTTAAATAAGTTTTTGATAGTTATGGAAGCTTTTTTCTTAGTTTCATGTCACTTAAAATTCATACCATTTGAAGAATAAAAAGCCTTCGTTTTTAGTAAAAGAAATAAACCAAAACCTTACTCTGATTTATTACTTGTTATTAAAGTGGGCTGGAATTCAAAATGATGAGAGCACAGTTGGAGGGTTTTTACTATAGTGTTCACATATTTTCTGTCATAAATTTGGTTATAGTTTTCTGCAGACACTACATTTGTATAAAGAACTCTGTGATAGACTATTTCTGTCCATGGGATTCCAAAATTATAGACACTGATGTCAATGCAGATGAGGTTAGCCTAATTTGGGCAAGAGAGGGACATGCCGAGTCTCTGTATGGATAGCTAAAGGCTATTGCCAAGATTGACAGGTGTCCTGTGAGTGGCAGAGAGCCCCGGGGATAAAATTTTCTCTTGGATTACTTCTCTAAGAAACAATGAACAAAGTCATATTTTCTTTTCTATTGATCATACTCATAAAATAGTGAGGTCTACTTTTAACTCAGCTTTTCTGATATTAGCCTTATAAACCCCAGAAAGGTAAAAAGTTTTATACTTTCTTCTTATAGTATCAGATTCTGTTTTTGAAAATTTTAAGTGTATCCTATGCATTAATTTTTCTAGAATAGTCACCTGATGTATTACTTTGCCATGTTTCGCTAAGGATTTGAGACAACTACGAAAATAGTTAATGTAAAAGAATACATTTGTTATTAGTGTAAAAGAGGTAACTTTATAGAATGATAAACTACATGATCCAACTCCAGAAAAATAAACTTTTAGGAGAATTATCTAAGTTATAAGCATAATATTTATTGTAAAAGAGATTTTATATTAATTTGAAACAGCATTTGTTTTATTTCATCTTATTGAAATTTTATTATTATTAAAATTTAATTATAAATCACCAAGATAAGTAGTCCTAAATGTATCTCAAAATAAGAAAAAGTTTTATAGCCATTAGGTTTATGACACTGAGAAAGTTGAGATTACTACTTTAAGAAAAACTGTGTTGCCTGAGATTTTTGTAAGATTTGAGTGATGTAAATGTGTCATTAGCAATGAAAGCTTTATGACTTTAGGCATAAACTCAATAGCCGTTTCTGTTCTAATAGGAAATTTTCTGATCTGGGGGAGTATTGTGTCTTGATTATCTCTGTATTACTGTGTCAGACATTAGTAGAAATTAGGAAGTGGATGCTGGGGGAACCATTTTAGGGAGCCAACCTATTAACTAGCACGAGAAACGAAAGCCAAGAGCCTCGTCCTGCTGAGAATCGGAGGTTTCTCGGGGCACTTGCAAACACAGTGCAAGTTCTCTTCATGGACCATTGTGATTGCAGTTAGGTTGAGTTAAGGTGAAGCTAGAGTGGTTAGGGCATTCTCATTTCTAGGTTTTAAATACAGTAGAGTTTAAGTCTGATTTAGCAAAAATTTGTTGGGAGTCCACTACGAGCTAGCTATTTGTTATGGATACCATTTACTTCCCATGAAGGGGAGGAAAATAAGGCACAGAGAAGTGGTGATTTGCTCATGGCAGTAAAGCTGGGAAATAAATCTAGGCTTTCAACTTCAAGCCCAGTAGAGTTTTGAGATGGTAGAAATAATCTAGATAGAAATTCATTTCAGTGAGACAACTTTTAGAACTGTCTTTCTTACTGCGTCTTTTTAAATCATCTCAATTATGATTTTCTAAGTATTGTACCAAAAATAGCCATCTTGTATTTGCTTTTCAAAACTTGATTCTTTTTGAGCAGTTGATTGGAAGAGAAATGTGAAGGTGGGAAGGGTCGCATCACTGGGCCAAGCATCAAGATAGTAGGCTGATTTGGAGTGGATAGCCCAGGCCAGAGTGGCAGAGAATGACCTCGAAGCCCGGGGCCCAGGCTGCACAGCCTCTTACAGATGACCGCCAGTGTTTCCCTTGAGCATTGGCCTAAGATACATACACTCTGCTGCTTTGACTCATGCCTAGGCATCCTTCAAGTTTCATTGCTAGAACCTTATTGGAAGGCAGAGTAATCACAGACCTTGACAGTCTCATATTAAAGCTAGTCTCATGGCAGAAATAAAAATGTTATCTGGATTTGTGCAAATATGAGTATTATAACTTGTTAGTTCCATAGCAAGAAGTGAAAAGTTTATGGCCATGTATTAAGAATGGTTTCAAGTTAGGAAAATTTGGATTTACACCTATAAATTTAATTTACACTTTATTTTGACAAGCCTAGAACTGACTTCTCTTTTAAACAAGCTCTTTGTACTGAGGATTAGATAATGAAAATAATATTATTATTTGAACTATTTTGGTTGTTTTGAAATATTTTAGGATCATTTGTGTACATTGATAATCAGATGACGTTGCCTTGTCTTGGACTGCAGTCACCTCCTGAGTGTTTCTTCAGTCAGGCCAAGCTATCTTCACCTCTCTCCGGGACCTCTGCAGTGGTGGCCTGACTGCCCATCCAGCCCCTACCCACCTCCCTATACTTGACCAAAATGGTCTTTTTAAAAAGCAAAATCTGCTACAGTACTTCAGTAGATTGAAATTCAGACAAGACACCCCCAGGTGGCCCATATAGGGCCTGGCCTCTACTCCCGAGGGCTGCAGTGTCATCTGACTCCTCCTCCCTGCACTTGAGCCGCCCTGGTCTTTCTGTCTCTCAGACTTGCTTGGCTTGGTTTTGTCTCACCCTTTGACCCTCACGCCTGTTCTTCTGTCTGCACGATCTGTCTTCCGTCTTCACATTCTTGGGCCATCACACTTCATCTCAGGGTCATTTCAGGGATTCTGGAAGAAGTCCTTCACCTCTTAACTAGGTCAGATTCAGGTTTGCTGGCATTTTCTACCTCTGCTTCATTGCACTTGTTACAGTTACAATTTTGTGTTTATTTACATAATTTGATTAATGTTCACTCCAACCAAATTGCAAGCACCACAAGGGCAGGAACCTTGTCTGCTTTTACTCGATGCTTATATCCCTGCCATCTGGTACAGAACCTGGTACATATTAGCAGCTTAATAAGTATTTGCCAAATACTTGAATGAAAGTTTCATAAAAGGCATTTTCTCAGCAGTATTATCTGCAGCCTCTTGGTTATGAAGACGGATGAATAGAAGCATACTTTGTTATTAGAAAGCTCACTTACAGCCAAGAGAACAAGATCTGTACCAAAAATATAAGTTAGATTGCAGTTAGGGCTTGAAAATAATATGTCCTTAATTATTTGAAAATGCGCTATTAGACTAGCTTTTTTTCAGTAAGTCCAAAATGAGTGAATTATAATGTTAAGAAGCATAGATAATATGACAGCCTCTAACATTCATAAAGTAATTCTATCCCTAAAAGAAATAAAAAGTTAAACAAATTTCAATTAAAAATTGAAAAGATGGAATAAAATGCATTAATATTTTAAAATGTCACCGAACACTGTGCTTGTGAAACCGTTCTATGTGAAAAGAATGAAGACATTTTTAGTACTGCCACGTATTTTTTGAAAGTTGTTTTAAGGCACTCTGTTAGTATTAAGATTGTAGAAGTGTTTGGGACTGGCCTGAGTCCTCTTTTTGCCTACATTTTGTTAGACTGTTAGGTCAACCCTCACTAAAGTCTTTTCCCTCCCCTCTTCCAACATTACTTAGGCAGTTCTACCCCAACCCTGGGTTTGTGGCATGAAGCATGCGCTGGGTAAGAAGGCTGGCTGGGTAGTGCATTCCCAGAGGAGTCAGGTGATCACTGTTGGAAGGCAGCTGCTTGAGGTCCAAGGCAGTCAGTGTCCCCTCTCTTTTGCCTCGGGACAGCTGGTTATTTATCAGACTCCTAAGAAGTTTTCCTTGCTCCCTAGTAGAAGAGAGAGATTATGCAGCGGGCTTTTGATTGATCCAATGGGAATTACATTGATCTGGTGTCTGGCCTTGGTTCTTATCAAGTGGATCACCTCTAAGGTAGGCCATCTTTATTTTTAGGATGGTGACATTCATCATTATTAGTTTACATATTTGATAGGAATTAAATAGCTTGACGATTTTCTCCCCCTTTTGCCTCAGTTTTTATTCTCTGATTAAAAGAGCTGTGAGTTTCATCGGTCATCCAAAGCACTTAAATTTACTACTTGTAGTTTTTATTCTTATCCCACATTATTTCTTGTTAAGGGCTTTTTATAGCATCTTTCCCCAATATCAAAGCAACATTCCTCAGTATCACTGCCTTAAAGAAGTTTTTATGACTAAAGAAGTTTAACTTTTAAGATTATGAAATTAAGTTATACTTTTGGTGTATATATTTTAAACATTCTCTCGGAGAAAATTTAATGACACTTGCGTATTTAAAGTGTAATGTTGAGGATTTCTAAACAATTATAAACTTTTTAAAAACGAAAAACCACCCTCTCATGTTTTCTCTTAAGGTCTTACTACTGCTAAAATACATGCCTTAGCTATAATATATTGACATAAATGTAGGATTACATATATGTTGTTTTTGAAGTTGAATTCTAAATGTCAGGCTTGAGAAATTCTTGATAGAATGCTAGCTAGCCATTTGCCGTCTGGACAAGGGTCTAAAACTAAAATAAAAAATATTTAAAATTATACTGTTTGAAATTATTTTTTTTCTATTCTTCTATAAAAACGATTATATCTTTCATCCACCACACAGCTTTTTTTCTTTCTAGATTGAGAAACTGAATTTTTAAGGCTATCACTTAACTGAGAAACAGAGCTTCTATAAAGTTAATTTTCTTTCTCAAGCAAGATTTTAATACCTGCTATGTAATTTTCCACGTTTAAACATAACATTTTAAGCATAATTATCTCTTAAGTTGGTCTTCTTTTCTTAGTGAATAAGATTGAAGAAATCTCTTAAAGAAAAATAATGTATTCAGATTTAAAATCTTTGTGTTTTAAAAGTTAAGAATTAATTTTGTTGCAGTGACACTATTTTCTTGTTTTTAAAGGATTGGCTTGCCAAGTTATTGAATGAAGGTCAAGTTAATGTTAATAATGCATTAGTTGTCTTGTGTGTGTTTTCAGAGACTTTACTTCCCCCCCCCCCCCGGTAGAGATGAGGTCTTACTATGTACCCCAGGCTGATCTCAAACTCCCGGGCTCAAGCAATCCTCCTGCCTCAACTTCCCAAAGAACTGAGGCTATAGATGTGAGACAATGCACCTGGCCTCTAGACTTTACCCTTTTAATGACCACCAAAAAATTACATTGTTTTTAAACAAAAAGAATGCTAATATTTTATTTTTTTAAAAAAATGTTGAAAAAAGGAAGAATAATGGGAAGGCTACTATTTGGTAGATCAATGCAATATTTGAATACTTTAGCCACTCAAGTACAAGCATGTTTTTCTAGCATATGTAAGATGACTACTCTGAAAAAGCTCATTTCGCTATGTCAGAGGAAATTGACTTCACAACTTTGGCTGGGCTTCATCTTTTGCTATATTATTGTTTTTTTGCTAGTGTTGTCAAAAATTTTATTCAGTGCTCCTGTGTGTAAGCCCTTTAACCATCAGTTTATGAATCTGCAAAATGGAACTAATAAAGCCTACTTTATAGAGATCTTGTGTGGGTTAAGTGAGATTTTGTGTGAAAACACTTGGAACATTTTTTTGGCACAAGGAGCACAGCAAGTGTTAGTTAATATATTATTACTCTTACCATGTAATGGAAATGCACTTGCTTTTGCTAATAAATCATTTAGTGGAAAACTTGGAACAGAATAAAAACAATGGCACTTAAAATATCTTTGCTGGGTTTTAAAACATGTCTGTCTTTAAAAGTTATGTATTAACTAATATTGGGAACAACTTTTACACCTTTTATCATTTACCTTCAAGTCAAATCTTTTGTGGAAGCATGATTCACCCTAATTCAAGGTGAGTCTTACCAGGGCACTCAGAACTCCTGTTAGTGAGGCAGTGGGTCCTTTGGTGCTACAGTTTAACTTGTTTGTGCTACTGCTGTCAGTTTCTGATTAGCTCAGCCTCGCCCATGTTTTGACCTATACTAGTTTGCTTTACAAGCTGTTCCCAGGATGGCTAAATTAGAAAAGTCACGAGTAGAAGCCTCTCAGTTATTTCCATTCACTGGTGAAGTGAGGTGGGAATGTGGGTGATAGCTCTGAGAGTTTTATGACTGACAGTGTGACACAGGATTTTGATGAAATTTGTTTTACTGTTATTAAAAAGAAAATTCTAGTAGTATTATGTTACATGTGCAGCAGTCTTATATAAAAGTAGATATAATTATTTTTAAAACAACATGATTCTAACACCGAGGTCAAATTTTTATTGTTAGAACTCATAATTTATAGTTTTTTTCCAAAATGAGTTACTGTAGATTATTCTACCTACCTACTTTAGATGATTCTACCTAGTGAGAGAGCTTAATATTCATTTTAATTTTAATTCTTAAGTGGGTAGGTGAATGAATTATCACTCAGGATGTATTTATTGATGGGTTCAGATATATATTTTAAAATCCATTCTTTAAAAACAGTTTTGGTCTCATTTGGATTTATTTCATAAAAGCTATGTCTTGTGGTTCAGTATAGCATTTAAGCTAAGTATTTGTAGACTAGCCTTACTTAAATTAGTACCTTATAATGAATAGAAAAACTTGGATATTTTGCACAGCCCTGTGTAATTTGTATCTATTTTAAAATTAAACTCTGCCTTTTTTGCTTAATAAATTAAGATTAATACAGACCCTACCATTTTAATATCTAAATTAGTGCCTCTATAAATGAGGCTAAAATGATTACCTTAATAAGTTTAATATGCCATGGTGTTATCTAGACTATGTGCATTACCCAGTTTTTGACTTAATATTATTTTGTGATGTTTAAGAGAGTGCCAATAATATTGGTCAATCTTTCACAATCATTAATGTATGAAGTGATACATATTTTACCTTTCTAACTAGCAACTGTTATAGTAAATACCCTTCCTACATTAGAAAAAAAAAAAACCAACATAATAATAATGTCAACTCCCCTCCTAAAGAGAACTGTTGGAGATAACACCTTAAAATTTATTTTAACAAGTTATTTATCTGAGTTGTTACTGGACACTATCAAATTGATAGGTCATGACAAGTTATTACATAGTATCTGCAGTGTCATTAATTTGCTTTAGCTGATGATAGAAATATTTATTGCCACATATGCCCTTCCTAGGCTACTAGGTTTACCCCTAGATCGGTGGTGTTGAGGAGAGACCTGTAACCTAGTAAGCTAAATATGTTGGGGAGGGGATTCTCACAATAGCTGTGAGTGGTGCCTTTTAACAGTGGCTGTTTCCTCCAGAATAAATAACATGAAACACTGCGGGAGGCTTCCTTAGGATATTCTATTAGTGGAAGACACTTTAAGCATGATACCAGGAGTGTAGTCTATATGATTTGGTCCCTTGGGATTTAAGATCATGCTTTTCTTTGTAGTAGATTTTTATTTTGCTTTTCAATTTCAATTTTATTTTGTGAATATATGATAATTACACACACTGCAAGACTCAAAAAGTACAAAGATAAACATTGAAAAGCCCCTCTCCTACCTCTGTATCCCTCAGCCTCCTTGGACACACCCAGTGGTGACAGTTAGAATTTTATTTTTGTTTGAAATTTTTTTTCCTCTTATATTTCATGAACTGTGTTTTTCTAAGGACTTGTGAAATCATGTAAGATTTTAATTGATATTTTTCTCTTAAAAGTCAAGCATTAAGGATATGATAACTTAATGTTTTGGGTAGTTGTTGCACACTAAATCCAAGTGAGGGCTTTAAGTAAATTTTCAATATGATGATAGTAAAAAATGTGATTTTTTTTTTTTTTTTGAGATTTATAGGTATGTGTTGAGGAGTTGTAAATCCCATGCCAGAGTTTTGTGAGGGAACACGATCATTAATCTGATATGTAAAAATACAATCTCGTTGCTTTAATATGTATTTCTTTTGTTAATGAAGTCAAGCATTTTTTTGTATTTATTTATTTTTCCCTTGTGAATAGTATGTTTATGTCCTACCTATTTTTCTACAGCTCTTTAGTCTTTTTCTAACTAGATTTGTAAGACACTTAAAATTTTTTTTTGGTGGGGAGATAGTGGAGGAAAATTAGCCCTTTGTCATATCAGTTGAACTCACGTTTCTGTGTTTGAAGTTTATCCTTTACTTTGTTAATGGTATCTTTTACCATCATAATTTAACTTTTAAGTGGCCAAATTTGTCAGTGTTTCCTGACTTAGGGATTTTTATAGGATAGTTAGAAAGGCCTTCCTATTTAAGACTTTTAAAAATATAGGCCTGTTTTCTTTTAATACTTTCATGCTTTAACATTTAAATCATTGTTCCATGTGTAATATGTTTTGGAGGAGGAAGGTAGTAATGTAGCTTTATGTTTTTCTAGATAGCACCACTTAATCTAACATTATTTATTAAAAATCAGTATTTCCTCCACAGATTCTAAGTCCTGTATTTATCATATACAGAATCACTGTGTACTCTTGGATTTGCTTCTAGAGTCTCTATTGATTATTTTCTCTGTTTCTTTGCAATGTCACACTATTTTGTTCATATCCCATAGTGCTAGTCCATTTCCCACCCTCCCCCTTTTTTTTTGAGACAGGGTCTCACTCTGTCTCTCAAGCTGAAGTGCAGTGGTGCCATCATAGCTCACTGCAGCCTCCAACTCCTAGGTTCAAGGGATCCTCCTGCCTCAGCCTCCCAAGTAGCTGGGATTACGGGTGTGTGCCACTGTGCCTGGCCTATTACTACTTAAACATTTTGGGTTTTTTTGCTTGTTAATTCAACTGATTTTACTGATCACTTTTGACATGCTAGGGACTGTTCTAAATGTTGGGATTTATCCTAGATTCTGGGAAAATAGCAGTGACTGAAGACCCTGCCTCCACAGAACTTAGATTCTATGTCTAAACTCTGGTTTGGTCAATTTTATCTTCCTCATTTTTAAATCTATCCTCACTTATATCCATTCTGTTAGTCACTAATTTATTCATCAATATATTTATTAGTTATTATTTATTCGTAGTAAGTCCATTTAGTCATTTATTTACCAAATTTTTATTTAGAACTTACTAAATAATAGATCCTGTTTTAGAGACCAGGGATGCAGTGATGACTAAGATAGACAAAGTTTCTGCTCTTGTGGAGCTTTTAGTAACATGCAGACAAGACAACTTCAGCCGCATGCTACACAGAGGACTAACATAGGGAGCTTTGGAAGAGGGTGGCTTCTAGGTGGCTATAGATTTCATAGTCAGGTAATCTCTCTCTGAAGAGATGACGCTTTGTCTAGAAGCTGCAAAGTAAGAAGGGAACAGTGAAGCAGTGATCCAGGATGAGGGAACAGCAATTGGAAAGGCTGTATATTTGGTGTAGATGAGGAAAAGCAAGGAGGCCAGCTTGGCTGTCTCCTAGCAGTGGGGGAGGCCACAGTACAAGAGGGCACAGAGGTAGACAGGTCACAGAGGACTCTAGAAAGTAAAGCTTGGGGAGCCCCAAGTGTGATGGGGAGCCTTTGGAGGAGTGTGAGCAGGAGCTGAAGTGCTTACTTTTGCTCTTATATGAAGCGTGGACTGGGATCCAAAGAGATGCAGCAGGAAAGCCAGTGGATTGTCCTTTCCTTTCTTTTCTATTAATATTTGGCAACTCCTATTGATCCCTTTTGAGTCAACACAGATGTCACCCCAAAACCTTTACCGACTTACTCAAACAGATTAAATTTCTAAAGAGAGGCTGCATGTGTCTCTCTTTGTATCCATTTTTATGGTAGTTCTTAACCATACTGTATTAGAATTATTTGTTGTCCCCGTTCCCCAGAGATTTCAAGAACAGGTACCATATCTAATTTCATTTTGTATATCCAGCTTCTCTTGCACAGTGCTTCACAAATAATAAATGATGAATACATGTTTGTTGAGTTGAATTTTATATCATATTTAATTGTCATGTATTATAATGCATATTTTTTTTTCTAGAGGCGTGGAGCTATTTCCTATGACAGTTCTGATCAGACTGCATTATACATTCGTATGCTAGGTAAGCATTATTTATTTTATACCAATATCAGTTAATTTTGTTATTATCGGTTGTTATTTGAGTTTGAGGTATCTTTCATTAGGTAGCTTTTCATTGCTGTTTGTAGCAGAAATAACCTATTCATGGAGTTTAGAGTCTAGAAACAAATATTGAATGTGATGTGAATCAAGAGAAGCATTTTAGAGTTACAGATAATTGAGAAATCTTTGGCCTAATAACTGGGACACTGTCATTAGTACACAGTTTCAAATTGCATCTTGAACATTCTTCATAGAAAATAGTGTTATATTTGTACAGTGGCTAAATACCAAATAGAGGAATGCCAGCATGGACAAAGGTGAGGCCATGAAATACCTGCTCAGATCATCCTGTGACTAGATGTATTTTGTTCTCAGCCGGCTGGCAAGGAAGACCATTTGACTTCTAGTTCTGGTGCTTATATTTTTTATGTATTAGTCAATTCCACAAGGTGAAATGAATTTAGATATGTGCGTATATATTTCTAATTTTCTTTTTCTCTTTTTCTCTGTGCCAGATTTCTGTCTTCATCCATGTCTCCTTCATCCTTGCACTTCAACTCATAGTATTAAACATGCATATTAAGATTCCAACAGGCACATTTATTCGTTTTTTGTTAGAAGACTCTCCTACGACTCCTCCTCAGCTCAGAATTCCTCCCTCAACTTTATGATACTGATCTATCCTTATTCTTCACCTACTTTTGTTTTCTCCTTTGCCACCTTCACTAATTCCTTTTCATACTTTTAAGCTGAAATGTTCCCCAAGGTTCTATTTTAACTCCTATTCCTTTTTGTCCTCTTTATTTTATCTTGTGTATCTTACCTGCCTCAGTTCTTTTCTATTCCAGTACATATTTTCCCCCCACGAATGCACAGCCTTTTTCTCCTTGCTGTCTCCATCTTTCTCTAATAAACATGTTCAGGATCCCGCTGTCCTTAAGACAGAGCTTTGCATTCATATTTTCTTTAACTTTGTAAAACATCTCCATGTAAATGTTATGGATATCTCAAACTTAACATGTCTAAAGCAAAACATTTGTGTTCCCCATGTCTGTCTGTTCTGCAGTCTTTTGCCATCTCAGTAAATATAACTCCATTCTTCCTGTCATCAGGTCAGAAACCTCAGAGTCAATTTTTTACTTCCTATTTCTTACACACTCCATATTGAATTCATCAGCAGATCCTACTAGTTGATACCTTTAAATACACCCAAATCTCACCACACCAATGCTGTTACCACCACATTTATTACTTACTCCTTAACTGGAGGCCCTGTGTCTACCTGTGTTCCCTGACTGACTCTGTTCTCATCACACCTAGAGGGAACCTTTTCAGACATAATCTGACTTCTCTATTCAGAAGTCTTTGATGGCCACAAATGTCTAGCACGATCTGACCCCACTGCCTCTCCACCCCACCCCCACCGGTTCCCCTCACTCACCTTGCTCCTGCTGCGCCGGCCTCTTGGCTTGCCCTTGACCGTGCCAAGCATGCTTCTGTCTCGGGGAGTTTTACGCTCTCTCTTCCTCATGCCTGGAAGCCTCTTCTTCCCTGGCTCCTGCCTCGCTTCCTTCAGGTCCCTGCCCAGACGCCTCCTTTTCAGTGAGGCCTTCTCTGACTGCACTAATGAGTCACCCTCCCCTGCTCCTCTCTTGCTATTCCTCTTACCTTTAGTTTTGTCCATGTAACTCATCATCTTCCACTGAAATTTGGTATTTATTATTTGTGTCATCACACAAAAAGATAAGCTTCATGAGGACAGTGAAGGGACTTTATGTATTTTGCCCTCTGCTGTATTTCCAGTGCTTGACTTGTTAACGTTTGTTGCAGCGTGAAGGAATGGCCACAGGACAGGTGACTAGTCATTGTGGGATGGAATTATAGTCGATGAAGTGAGCCTTGGAGGAAGTGATGGTCTTACTGAGAGAAACAGTAAGCAGGAGTGCCCTCTAAGCAAGCCAAATTGCGAGAGCACAGGAATAGAGGCTGAAGATTTAAAGGTTATGAACTTGGGAGGCTATAAAAGTGTACTGGGAAAAGTGCTGTGTTTGGAACTCACGGAGCTGGGTTTAAATCCTGACTCACCCTTTGTACTAGCGCATGCTATTTAACTTCTCAAAGTCAAGTTTTTGAATCTGTAAAATGAGGATTAAGATTCCTATCTCTGAAGGTTGACAAGAGAAGAAAATAAAATAATGCCTGCAAAACACAAAAAAGAGCGTCTAGACCATGGTTGCTATGGTTATGTTGCTGTATAGAAAAATAAATGTGGAAGTAATGTGGGCACATGTAGGAACCACACTGAGCTTACAAAGACCAAAGTTTAAGACCCAGCTAAAGGCCTTGGGTGTACCCGCTGTCAGTGAGAAAAGAGTGATTAATCAGGTTGACTTTAAAACAAAATCTTTAACATTTTAAGTTTTTACACATTTATGAAATTGCAAACTGCTTGAAAATAAGTAATATATTTTCCATTTTTCATATCCCTTTTAGCCCATACTATAGTGCTAGGCACAGTCGGCTCAAGTTTTGTGCTGAGGATTTTCAACCTCCTGTAAAACAGATACTGTTCCCCAATGGCCTTTTTTTTAAAAAAAAAAAAACGTTGCCCATATGAATAACATGTTAGGTCGTCTTATCATATACTTGAATCCTCTTTCAAAAGGCTAACTTATTAAAATATAGATTATAATAATTATTGTAGGGGTAGATTTTAAAAAGTCCTCCTCATTCAGCCTTACAGTTCATTACTGAAATTTTGTGAACTCTTTCAAATAAATCAGCTCCTAACTACCTGTTCCACATATATCATCAGTGGGCTGTCACTTACGAATATGATACCACATGGACCTTTGTTGCTTATGGAAGCTTCTTCCCGAGCGATAACCTTCTAAACTTATGTTTTATTCTTGATTCTGTCCAGGAGATGTACGTGTAAGGAGCCGAGCAGGATTTGAATCAGAAAGAAGAGGTTCTCACCCGTATATTGATTTTCGTATTTTCCACTGTAAGTGTTGATAGACATGATGTTTCTCTCAGACTTTCACTACAAATTTTAATAAAATTACATAGTTTTCCAAGGGAAAAAGAATACCAGAAAAAAAAATCTATTATGTTTGGAATGTTTTTAAAACCTAAGTCATGTATGTAAATGACACTATTTCTATGTAATCTTAGTAAATACTTAAGAGACAATTAGAAGAGGAAGATACTAAAATATGAAAGTTGATATAGCTTTTCTCTTCTCTGATTTATTACTTTATTTCTTTAAAAAGATTTTTTTTTTAAGTTGTTGTATTCCAGATGGTTTGTCTTTGCTACTTCAAATAAAATGTTTTTGTGCAAATGATATTTTATGAAGGTGTTTCACTAGATTAGCAAAGTGTTATCTTTTTGGTTTATTTGAAAATGTGTATCACCTTTAAAGATGCCTGGTCGAGTGCCTGTTTCAAAAACAAACATTCTATGTGGATTTAGCCTATAGTGGAGGGAAAGGGGAAAAAACAGAACTTCTAAACGCCTTAAGTATTAAACATATTAAATCTGTTTGTGGAGGAGTTCCACTTTCAGTAATGTTGGCTAAAGTAATTTGGATTGATAATCTAAAAAATGAGAAAAATTAGTCAAAATATAAAAGACATGTATGTATTCAAATGTATCTGAATGCTATTGAGGCAGAGAGATAAGCCCAGCACTTCAGGCTACTATTCTTCTTAGTAGCATGTACTGATTCTGGGAAAGGTGAATTAGAAGATGAACAGAGCTTTTTATGGACACTTAGGGATAGAGAAACAAAAACAGGTGTTTAGAGCCCAGCAAGGCTGGAAGGTTGGTGCTGGTAAGCCATTCAGGCTTCGTTTGGAATCCTAAAGTGCTATGCCTTAGAAATAAATCCCAACTTTGAAATATCTCACTCACCGAATACATTAAGGTGATCTGTGACTCGTGTTTCTAGCCACCTGCTGGACAGAGATGTAACTCATCCCTTAAGTTTGCTAGCTGCAAACAGAGCCCTGGGATATGTCCTAGGCAAAGAGTAGTCAGGGCTTTGTGTTCTTGAGACATCAGTAAGAATGTGTAGGGACCCTCGGGGCCTCCAAGGAGAATTAACTTTCCAGTAACAAATGACCCCAAAACTTATTGGCATAAAACAACTACTATTTTTAATGCTCATGATTCCGAGAATCAGGAATTCAGTCAGGGTGTATCAGGTTTGGCTTGCCTGTGCTCTACAGTGTCTTGGTCTGTGATTGGAATGGTTCAGACAGCTTAAAAATGGCTGGGATAGTGGCACTGGAGCCTTATGTCCAGGGTCTTGGTCCATCTCATGTCATCTCCCAGGGCTGGAACCTCCAAGATGGCTTCTGCACTCTTAGGTGCCAACATTTTTCTGTCTCCATAAATGGCAGTCTCAGGGAAGTCTTAGGGGTAATTGGACTAATTACATGGCAGCTACTTTCTGCCAGAGCAAACATTTCAAGAAAGAGGAAGTGTGAGGATTCATAGTGTCTGAAGATGTGGGCCCAGACCCTGGCATAACATCACATTTCCATATTCTGTTGATTAGCCGTGTCACACAGCTTGCTCAGTGTCACGGAGAGAAGACACAGCCCTCCCTCCACCCTGGTTGTCAAAGGGATGCAAGGTCAAAACCTTTTTAATCTCCCGTCTGTAATCTGGCACAAAATGTTTTGAAAAAGTAATTAAGGTCCTAGAAGGAGAGGAGAGGGTAAATGTAGCAGGAGCAGTCTTTAAAGAAGCAATGGCTGAGAAATCTCTAGAAGTTGATAGAAGACATTAAGGCACAGATTCCGGAAGTATTATAAATCTCAAGCAGAGTAACATTAAAAGAAAATCACACCTAAGTGTACCATAGTATAACTATGAAAACCAAAATCAAAGAGAAAGAATTAAAAGTAATGAGGGGTAGTGGAATATTACTTTCAAAGGAGCAATTATGAGGTTGCCAGAAACAGATTGTTTCATTTTCCACAGAAACTAAAAAGGTAGAAGACAAAGGAAACATAGCTCTGATGTGCTAGAAAAAAATAAACTGTCAAACTAAAAATGTAATCCACAAACTCTGAAAAGGACACACTTCACAATTTGTTACGTAAGGCTAGCGTGTAATCTTGATACTACAACATGACAAGGATGTGGTTGTCATCCACATCCTTGACTAATAGATTTTAGTCATAGCAGGAGCATGTGCTCATTTCTCTGATTAGATCACATTTCACAAAACACACTAGATTACAAACAAAAAATAACAGCCAAATCGCTCATGAATATGGAGGAAACGTCCTAAATAACATATTATCAAATTATATCTATACCACAAAGGGAGAATTAATATATTTTGACCCAATTCATATTTTTCCAGGAATATAAGGTTGGTTTAACAGTGAAAAATCAATCAGTGTAATTCACTATATTAATAAAATAAAGGAGAAAAGTTATGGATAGGTTAATATGTTAATGCTGAAATGGCAGTGCTAAAAGCCAAGATGACCAAATGCTAAGAAGAGCATTTGATAGGGCCAGTCGCAGTGGCTCACACCTGTAATCCTTTGGGAGGTGCTTTGGGAGGCTGAGGTGGGTGGATCATCTGAGGTCGGGAGTTCGAGACCAGCCTGACCAACATGGAGACACCCTGTCTCTACTAAAAATACAAAATTAGCCAGGCATGGTGATGCATGCCTGTAATCCCAGCTACTTGGGAGGCTGAGGCAGGAGAATCACTTGAACCCGGGAGGCAGAGGTTCTGGTTAGCTGGGATCGCGCCATTGCACTCCAGTCTGGGCAACAAAAAAAAAAAACTGTCTCAAAAAAAAAAAAAAAAAAAAAAGAAAAGCATTTGATAAAATTCAGTATTTGTTCTTTCTTAAAATTCTGAGCAAGCTAGGAACAGAGAAAAACTTAAAGAGTTTGAAACATTAGCTACAAAACCCACAGCAAACATCATATTTAATAGTGCAATATTAAAACATTCTTTGTGAGATGAGAAATCAAGAATATCTTTCATCATCTTTCCTATTCAGTATTGTTGTGGGAAGTCAGGGACCCCGAATGGAGGGACGGGCTGGTTGTTCTATCCGGTATAATAATGCAAGAAAAATAAATGAAAAGTATAAGGACTAGAAAAGAAAAAGTATCATTTTTATAGATGACATACTTATGTACTTAGAAAATTGTTAGGATTAATAAGTGAATTTAGCAGTTTTCCTTTCAGTACGTAGTGGTATTTCTGTAAAGTAACAGTGAGAAAATTAACATAATATATAATTTGAATTTGCGTCAAAAAACACCAAATATGTAGGGATAAATCTAACTAAAGATATGTGTAACTCTACATAGAAAACTATAAGTCATTACATAGAAAAATTAAAGATAACTTAAATAGAAGTATATATACTGTTGTTTATGGATTGGAGGATTCAATGAAGATGTCAGTGTTTCTTCTTTCCTAAATTGATCTGTATAGGTTTAGTGAAATCACAAGGAAAAATCCCAGCAGTTTTTTTTTTCAATAAAATCAACAAGCTGATTTTAAAACTTATACGAAAGTTGAAAAAGCCAAGAATAGCCAAGACAGTTAGGAAGAAGAAGAATGAAATTATGGAATATACATCCATAGATATCAAACTTATTATAAATAGTAATAATCAAGTCAAGGTGATATTAATTCAAGGACTGACAAATAGAATAAAGGCATACTATAGAATCTAGAAATAATCTACACATATATGGATATTTGATTTGTGACAAGTGTGGTAATGCATTAGGTAGAAGATAATGCAATGGGTAGAAATAGCGATTTCACTAAATCAAGTCGATACCCATATAGGGAAAAAAAAATGAATCTTGGACCCTGTTCTCCATGCATTAAAAAAAATCAAATTTGGTTGATTAACTTTGCCAGATTAGGCTGATAATTCAGGTAAGGTGAGGAATGCTAAATCAATAACATTGATTTAGCAATGTGGACATGTTGGTAGGGGAAGCCTGAAGTTAAAGTGAATTTAAGAGAGAACAGAAAGATGGGAATTAGATATAGCAAGTACAAACAACTCTTTTAGAGAGTTTTGCTGCAAAGAAAATGGAAGACGCTGGGCATGGTGGCTCACGCCTGTAATCTAGCACTTTGAGAGGCTGAGGCAGGTGGATCACCTGAGGTCAGGAGTTTAAGACCGGCCTGGCCAACATGATGAAACCCCATTTCTACTAAAAATAGTAAAAATTAGCCAAGTGCAGTGGTGCATGCCTGTAATCCCAGCCACTTGGGAGGCTGAGGCAGGAGAATCACTTGAACCTGGGAGGCGGAGGTTGCAGTTAGCCAAGATCACACCACTTCATTCCGGCCTGGGCTATAGAGCGAGACTTCATCTCAAAGAAAAGGGAAGAAATAAGAGAGGCAACTGACAGAGGAAGTGGGATCACTGAAACTAGAAATTAATAGCAAAGCTCAAGAACAAAAAGGCCTGGCCACCTGGAAATTTTCCAAATTCTGAAATAAGTACTTCTTGGGTCAAAGAGGTAGACCATAAAAAGATGATAATTAAAGATTATATAGGAAAATCTATGAAATTCAGCTAATGCAGTGCTTACAGGAAAATTCATAGCCTTAAAAAATACTTACATTCATAAATAAGAAAGAATGAAATAAGTCAACTAAGTAGTCCAACTCAAGAAGTTAGAAAGATAATATCAAAATACACCTAAGAAAAGATAAAGTAGTTGTTAAAGATAAAAAACAGCGATCAATGAACTAGTAAACTGAAATAAAAGTAGAACTCTGTAACTAAAGTTGTTGTTTGCAATAAAACAGATAAATTGCTCGCTAACTTAAAGACTGAATGGAGCTAACATGCATACTCAAAAAATAAGAGGGGAAAACACCACAGATAAAGAGAAAATAAAAGAATCGAAATGGACTCTTTTGCTTGACCCCAAAAATATATTTGAATACTTGTATGATCCAGAAAATATTCTTAAAAATTGCAGTTT